GGGTGGGGTGGGGGGTGAGGGTGGGGGTGTTGCCTACCGTGCACTCGTAGCGGCGGATGTCTGGGAAATAGGCGGAGGCGGAGAACTTGCGCCGAATGACGACAGTGCCGCCGAACAGCAGCGCCTGCCCCACCGACATGATGCCGCCAGCCGTGTGGTAGAGCGGCAGCGGCGTGTAGAAGCGGTCGCTGGCCTTGAAGCCCGCCATCCAGCTGATGGCGCCGGCGATGAAGAAGAACCTGCCACACACACGACCACCCTTAGCACTCTGCGGCCTCCCATCGAATACTTAGGAGTACGTCTCGATTCGAAATTACTACAAAGAATAATACCATATAAACGCAAAAAACACGCTTAAGTAAAGAACCTCGGATTAAAATCACTGATAAATTTCAAAGTAAAATTTCTCTCAACAATGCAATAGCTCTTTATAAACATATTATCCAACATATTATGATTTATGGTGCCCTATTTGGTTAAATGCTTGGAAACGAACTTAAAATACAAATTATTCAAAATAAATAATTCAGAACAATTACAAAGGCCCCATGATTCATTTCAAATCCACAGTTGCCCGAAGAATTAAATGTCCCGTATATAATTCCATTCATTATCGAGATATCCAGAAAATTATATTCACGTATCAACCAAATACCACTTACTCAAATTTAATCTTGCTCAAATCATAGATTCCGGACACGAAGTAGAAACACGTTGCTGATTCAAGCATTTTTGAACTTTCAGGCCGAGTTGGAGGATAAGTAAGGCACCTTGTGAGCTTCCTGACCCTTCACTAGTTAGATTTAGTTAGTTTATTCAAGTTAGTTTATTAGGTTAATTTAAGTCGTCAAAAAACTACAAATGTAAAAGTGTACTGAAGTACTGATGTATGTATCATGTTATTCTAATAAATAAAAAATTAAAATGAAAAAAGATGAACAACACTGCAGCCTCCCATATACACAACCATCATGTACTCTTCAGACCGAATGATTACTTGTGACCCAGGACCTCGGTGCTAGGGTCAAAGATTGATATTCCGTGCCCAAGCTAAACAATCCCAAAATCTTCAACACAAGCAGATGCGAGAATTATAAGACATCACTAACAATAATAATAATAATAATAATAATAATAATAATAATAATAATAATAATATAATTATTATTATTATTATTATTATTATTGCATGAAAATTAATAATGCAAGGTATTAGTGCTCAGATTTACAAGATTCCTTACATCTGATAGAAACATTTCCACTTCAATAAATAGCAAAGAGAGAGAAGTAAATAATTAAAGAGATTTTCTTGAAGAAATAGAAGGGACTGAGGAATGGAGCAACAAAAATACTGAATCGGAAAAAATACTTCAACACGAGACCGCAGAGTACTGTGAGTCAATTTTTCTGTAAATGTATTCGAAAATCATTTAGACAATGTAGAAGTGGCGCACAGAATGCTTTACTACTGGCGAAACATCAGTGTTAATTTCATTTTCTCGTTGCAAGAATGGCATCACTCAAAATACCGGAAATATTAGTTATGTAACGGAAAAGTATAATCTTCAAAGTTACGTCTACTGACACAATTACGTAATATGTTTTACAAGTTAATAGCGAAAAACAGTTGGATGGATAATGCATTACAGTAGATTTTGTTGTTGCTGTTGTTGTTGTTGTTGTTGTTTTGTTGTTTTGTTGTTTGTTTTTTTTTACACAAAACTTGAAGCATATTTCATAGAAAACTCGCTATATGGATGACGTTATGCTAATGTTGCAACAAATTTAGTATACGACTATTCTGTGCGAGTCACAAACAAAATACGTCAGTACTGAGAATGTTCTAGTCTGCATTACACGTGTATGTACAGAGTGCTGCGTCATGCTAGACAGTTCTGAATGATTGGAACAAAATCATGGATACCTGCGTTTACAGACTATTCACTTAGGGAAGGCTAGACGCGAGAACAATATTTTGATTCGGGTACACATTCGCCAAAGACAACTATTCTTATTATACTATTCCAATGGCCAGGAATTTGCATGAACATGTTATAAATAATTATTTTCGATGCAAAATACACAAATTAAAACAAATGCTTTAATTGTTTCAATACATAACAAAATTATCTCAACAATGAAAGTTTGATCTTTAATGCTAAAATGAAGTAGAAACTCAATTTGAATTCAATGGCAACTCGTGTGGATTAGCCAACAACAATAGGTTGTAAAATATATCTATTTAAAATCAATTTTCTGTGCTAAAGCAAATTGTACGCTGCTGAAAAGATGAAGTTCACCTTTTCCGGGGAAGGTAAATTTCTTTAAATCGTAAGCTGTAATGCTGCGAAAGACAAGGTAAGCTTGAAACCTGACTGTTCTGAGTTTGGGAATGGATGATTGCATGACGACATATTTGCTAGCAATTTTCAACGTATTCTATTTTTACTTTATTGCTGTAGAGTAGAAAGAAAGTTACGCAATTGTCGAAGAGAAAACTGCTCATTTTCAGCTGAAAAAGTAATTACATAACCCTGGCAACGAAAAGTGGATAAATTCAGTAGTTAAATTATGGAAAAACAACTAACGTATGTTAATCCCGCATGTTAATCCCAAACTTTGCTTATCCATTTCCAAAAATGGGACATTTACCAAGTTTTTTTAAAAAAAAGTCTCCAACGATGTTGATTAAATTTTATTGTTGGATACTGTGAAATACGCTTAAGATGCTGGCACAGGTCTCATGTTAGTTGAAAACTGATTTTTCTAAAACTGCAAAATGTTCAATATTTTTTCGGCGTCATCGTACAACTAAAATATTAAAGATGGACATTTTCCCCTTAATAAAATCTGCTCTTAACGATAGACTTTGAAATAAAGTCATCTACAATTTTTCGAAAATTTGAGTACTTTTGGCTTAATTTTGCATGAAATATGGGCGAGAAGGTATGTGCTGTTTTAGCAACACTAGTTTATTCCATGATATCACATATGAATGGCTAAATGCAATGTCATTATTAGCGTTTCTCAAATCCACATTCAATCTCTCTTTATCCTGAATGTGCACCGCCTCCCAAATTGGCCTGCCTTAATTAAACGACGAGTAGTCCGACCTTAACAAGACGGATCGCACTTCATTCTTGGGCATGAGCACAACAGGTCGATTTCACCTCCACTTCCACTCGAAAGCCTCTTTCTGACGATTGTGGGAAGAGTCGATGTTCACAGCACAAACAACATGTCCTTTCGCGATAACGTCCAACATGGACTGCGTCGAGCGCTTCGTGCGAAGGCGAAAGGTCGAGTGGAAGGAGGGGCGAGGCGAAAGGGGAGGGCGAGACGAAAGGAGAGGCGAGACCGAAAAGGGGAGGGGCGAGACGACAAAGGAGAGGGCGAACGAAAGGGAGAGGCGAGACGAAAGGGAGAGGCGAGACGAAGGAGAGGGCGAGACGAGGGAGGGCGAGACGAAAGGGGAGGGCGAGACGAAAGGGGGAGGGCGAGACGAAAGGGGGAGGGCCGAGACGAAAGGGGGAGGGCGAGACGAAAGGGAGAGCCGAGACGAAAGGGGGGCGAGTGACGAAAGGTGGGAGCGAGACAAAGGGGGAGGGCGAGGACGGAAAGGGCGAGGGCGAGACGAAAGGGGGAGGGCGAACGAAAGGGGAGGGCGAGACGAAAGACGGCGAGGCGAGACGAAGAGGGGGAGGGCGAGACGCATAGAGGGGAGGGCGAGACGGGATGAGGGGGATGGGCGAGGAGCGAAAGGGGGGGGAGATCGAGACGGAAAGGGGAGGGCGAGGACGAAAGGGGGAGGGCGAGACGGAAAGGGGAGCAGACGAAGGGGAGGCGAGACGAAAGGGGAGGCGAGACAAAGGGGAGGGCGAGACGAAAGGGGAGGGCGAGACGAAGGGGGAGGCGAGACGAAAGGGGAGGGCGAGACGAAAGGCGGTGAGGGCGAGACGAAGGGGAGGGCGAGACGATAAGGGGAGGGCGAGACGAAAGGGGAGGCCGAGACGAAAGGGGAGGGCGAGACGAAAGGGGGAGGGCAGACAAAGGGTGGGGAGATTTGTAATAGAGAGGAAATTGGGTAGTGGGGCCGTAGTGTGAAGGCTATGAGGGTGGGGCGTGCATACGTGGGCCGCAATGTGGAGACGAACGGGGCGACAGGTGAAGAAAGGACGTCATGAGAGGGTGCAGACCGGGACCGGCGGGTCGTGTCAGCGGAGGGAGCGGGCGGAAGCGGTACCATGTCCCACGCGCAAAAGGCTGCTTGCCTCATGCACACGTGTTTCCGAGCGGCTGACAAGGCGAGTTTCTCTCGCCACTCCACTTCCTCAACCTACTTCGGTTCAACACGCGCCCTACTGGAGAGCGGCCGCTTCGTCACAGGTCAAGAAATACAAACTCATCGACACAAATCTGTCAAAGAGCTTTCATGAGTATAATAAATACATCACTGATTGACAATTGAAAAGTCAAATGTTCCTACATCCAGCACATTTTGTTTTTACAGTTTCTATCAACATTTTACAGCGCCTGGTCTCGTGTCCAATCTTGGCCTGGAATCGTGAACAGAATCTCCCTTTATATTTCTTTTCCCCAAAACAGTAAAAAGGTATGCAGAATCGGCATCTCCATCATCCCCCTTATTATACTTAGATGAATTATGGATTAAGGTATAATTTGCATTGTGTGCCATCCCTAACTCGAAATGTTCGCACTCTTGTAAAGGAAACTATTTGCAACGTGTTACAGGTTACAGGTATTACATTTTTAGACAGCTATTAGTTACTTTTAGCGTATCACAGCGTATCAAACGTTAAATTTTCATCACTATCACATCATAAAAGTGAGAGGATGCTCACACGTTCATATCAAAGTGAAAATTAGAAAAAAGAATACTTTGGGATGACCGCATGCGTTCTACAGATCATAATGTAACATTGTACTATATTAATTGATTTCTATACTTGAAGAAACTCAAAGGAGAGTCGATAATATTGGCAAAAAAATAATGTACGATTCGTGGTATCGCTTGCGGCTGCGAAGTTATTCAACTATTCTAAATCCTGCATGGACCAGGACCCGACGACACTGCATTCATTTCGGAATACGTAACTTCCCTTTAAGTGCTATTTTTCAAACCCCCCATCTATCATTTGTTATTGTTTAATCTAAATAAATAAAATTGAAGTGTCTGCAGTTTCAATGTAACTGCATTTTTATATTGTCGGTGCTTATTTTCATGATATAAAAACAATTCAATTATTTTTACGTTGTTTTGTATCTGTTCATTGTAATATCTGGAAACCAATTTTTATGAAATTTTTACTGAAAGCGTAAAAATGCGTAGCATAACTTTCGCATTTTTTAAATTTTTTCTTATATATAGAACAAAACATCTTGGTTGGATTTCATACACCTTCCATCTTCAGTTTTATTTCAACCTTTATGGATTTTTCTACCCATACCCTTCAACACAAACGTTATCGACAAGAAGAAATGAGATAAACATTAGGGCCCCTCACCTACACATCAGAGCAATATTTAAGTGTGTTCTCTTTCAGTATTTTGCGAATATTTCGAAAAGTATGAAGAAATCCGTCAAGAACAATAAGCGTTTTTTGAAACCCATAGTACGTTATAATAAATGCCTTTTTATTCATTTCATTAGGTTAAGAGAAATTTGCAATTGCAAATTGTGATTGGACATTTTCCGAGAGAGTGCTATAATGGCGCTTCTGTTTACAACTGCCTATGACGATGATGGTGGTGGTGATGGTGGTGGTGGTGGTGGTGGTGGTGGTAATAATGATAGCAGGGAATGAGGCAAGCTATGGTGAGAACGGGCGATGACAGGTGATGTAGGGCAGTGGGAGGGCTGTTGGAAGGAGCAGGGTGGATTTGGACAATGTGATCCAGCGCAGGGTAGTGCAGGGCAGGTCAGGGTAGGTCAGGGATAGGTCAGGGGCGTAGGTCAGGATGGGTCAGCGATAGGACACGGTCAGGACAGGGCTAGGACAGGTTAGGACAAGGGATAGGACAGGAGACAGGCTAGGACAGTAGGAACAGAGTAGGGACAGGGTAGGACAGGGTAGGGATAAACTATAGATAGAACTCATTCCCTTTACTAACTTATGGACGTTTGTGATAAATAAATACCGAGGTAATGTGAGTTCGTATTAAAGTACGCATGTTGGTAGGCAGCTCACCGCGAGTGGTCGATGACGGCGGCCTTGGGCAGGCCGGTGGTGCCCGAGGTGTAGATGTAGAGCAGTGCGTCGCGGTAGCGCGGCGGGTCGGCCACCTCGGGCGGCGCGGCGCCGTCCCCGGCCGCCGCCAGCAGCTCGGGCAGGTGACGCTCGCCCAGGTCCGAGGGGTCGGCGTGGGGCTCGGGCCCCCAGCGCAGCAGCGCTAGCCCCGCGGGCAGCTGCCCTGCCACGTCCTTTACCGCTGCGCACACAAACACACAAATCACTCGCCGCAAACACACACACACACAAACACACGCTGCGCACCCACGAACACTTTCGCTGGCTGGCTCGCCACTCCCTTCAGCGCTGCTACACGCACACACACACGCACACGCACACGCACACGCACACGCACACGCATACGCATACGCATACGCATACACTCGCCGCTCCTGTGACACCCTTCAGCGTTGCGCACATACCAGCAAACAAACCCACGCATTCGCCCCATAAATGAAAAGGAAAAGAAAGAAAGAGAGAGATAGAACGAAAGGAAAAGAAAGGAAGATAGATAGCGAGAGAGAATGAAAGGAAAAGAGAGGAAGACAGATAGAGAGAGATATAGAGAGAGAGATAGAGAGAGATAGGGAGAGAGATAGAGAGAGATAGGGAGAGAGATAGAGAGAGATAGGGAGAGAGATAGGGAGAGAGATAGAGATAGGGAGAGAGATAGGGAGAGAGATAGAGAGAGATAGGGAGAGATAGGGAGAGAGATAGAGAGAGATAGGGAGAGAGATAGAGAGAGATAGGGAGAGAGATAGAGATAGATACAGAGAGAGATAGAGATAGATACAGAGAGAGATAGAGATAGATACAGAGAGAGAGATAGATAGATACAGAGAGAGATAGATAGATAGATAGATAGAGAGAGAGATAGAGAGAGAGAGAACGAAAGGAAAAGAAAGGAAGAGAGTATGAATGAGAGACAGTGCGGGAGTGTGTGCGTGTGCGTACACTCACCGCCCAGCAGCTCGGAGCCGAAGACGAGCGCGCGCGCGCCCGAGATGCGCAGGCAGTGCAGCAGCGGGTGCTGGCGCAGGTTGTAGTTGATGAGCGGCACCACCACGCCCAGCTTGGCCAGCCCCAGCCACAGGCACACGAACTCGGGCCGGTTCTCCATCATGAGCGCCACCTTGTCGCCCTTGCGGTAGCCCTCCTTCTGGAAGGCGTGCGCCACCTTGTTGCTGTACCGGTCCACCTGCGCAAGCACAGCGGGGACCACTCGATAGAGAAACAAGAAGGTGACGATTCTTTCTTTTCTTAGTAGTCGACAGAAGACTATTATACAAGCAAAGAAAATATTTAATAACTCATTTTATGTTGAAAATTATATTACTTATTTTTTTAGTCGCAATGCCCAACAGCGAATAAATGGTGTGTGCAATATAAGGGCATTTTGGCGTGTCCTACAAAATTTTCCGATGAAGACAAGACTGGAAAACGATACGTTTTCTATATTTTAAGGTACTATTCCTTACTTTATGAAACGATCTCATAATCATGGAACAATCTCGTAGTTATCGCGAGGCGAATTCATATATAGGGACGTTCCAACACATCACATTCGTTCGACACATCCAGCGTTCTCCAGGTCATTACTGAAGTAACATATAACGTTTCTAGAACCAGTAAAGATTTTTTTAAAATTCAAATAAACATTTCTGGATTACTTCCAATTAATTCTGCCTTGGCAAACATCAGTGCCTTTCTATAAACATATCTAAAAGTACATAACTTTTGGAAAGTGTCAGGATTTTTTACTTCCAGCCTTTAATTTTTCTCCCTCTTATTCTTTACCCAAATCCAACACCATCACATAAGATACAATATTCTCAGAAGAAAATAATATCCCAATTTCTATAAAAATGTAAGTTCCTGACCTCAATCATCGCTAATGTGTAATTTGTATGTTAATCATAAAGTGTCATAAAACATTGAATTGAATGTGCAATGAGACTGATCCACCGAAGTAAAAATATTGAGTAGTGTGCTGTCAATTTCACTTTTATGACTGCGAACAAGCAACGGTATTTGGAAATTTAATTTTCTACATTTAAGTTCGAAACAAAAGCAAAATACGTGCTCTACAACACAAAGCGTGTTGTAGGCACGAAGTTTTGTTAGAAACCATCAAAGATCTGCCGTGTTCTCTCGTCTGTTCTCTTTCAAAGGCAGTCAAGCATAACTCCTAGTTTAGGCTCCTGAACACATCTCGACAAACACGGAACGAAAACGCCATCATCATGACTTTCGCTACAACCCACACTCGCAACAAGTTGCAAAGTTCTTCCTGCTCTCACACACCATTGCACATTAGAAAATCGTAATAACTCTTTTACACTTTCTAAAAGAAGAATTCTCATTGGTCATGCAGGAAGTCATTTTCTCTTCAAATTACAAAAAAATGTGTTGCTTCTCTGACATATTTCCATGATATTAACAAATAATTTTACTTCCTCGTATACTACTTACGTATATAGTATCCCCAAGATATCTTAGTACTGGGAGTATAATATTTTAATGTGCTTGAAATGACTTTAACAACTACAATTTTGAACACAATTTGATATAAGATGGAAACTTCATATCAAAGAGATTAATATGTAATATAATGTAAAACACAATAAAATTTCAACAAATAATAATTAATTGTTACTTGTATATCTGATTCACACAAGTAAATTCGATCACCATAATTCAATTATTTACAATTACGACTTTATGAGTTAAAGAGAGCAGATCAGTTTCACGTGACTTCAAACTTTTACAGTCTTCGCTCTTCATTTCGTACATAAAATCTAAACAAAGAATTAATAAACAATCTGAATAAATTATCGTATCATCTCCATTCTTTTTTCACAACAGTTGGAAATCCATCAGCCCGCCCGAAAGCTGGAGTAGAGTTCGGTGAGACGCCCAGCGGCATTCCAGAGAACAGCATTCCCACCTCACCCCCACATCCCAGCTGTCAGGCGGAGTGGGGGAAGGCGTGCCTGTGGAAGGGGTTGTATTCGTCCCGTACGACACGCGATCGTCCCGTGAAAAAGGAGATCAACCCCGTGAAAAAGGAGATCAACCCCGTGAAAAAGGAGATCAACCCCGTGAAAAAGGAGATCAATCTCCAAAACATCGTCACGTAAAACAGGAGATCGTCCCATAAAATAGAAAGTCGTCCCTTATAATAGGAACTTGTAAAGTAAAGTAGGAGATCTTCTGAAATGGGAGATTGTTCAGTAAAGTAGGAGAGCATGCAGTAAAATTTGGATTCCCTCCGTTTTTCAGTTCTGTCCCGTTGCCCTGGAAACTTTTGTACTATGTCAAGATTATTTAAGTATTTACGTACCTGAAGTATTTAGCGTGGTTACTTTTTTCCCTATTATGCACCACGACTAAAAAAATCAGTAGTTTTATCAACTCGAGAGATCGCTCACATAAATATTTTAATACGGCTGAGTGTGTGTGTGTGTGTTTGTGTGTGTGTTTGTGTGTGTGTGTGTTTGTGTTTGTGTGTGTGTGTGTGTTTGTGTGTGTGTGCGTGTGTGTGTGCGCAAGTGAACCTCTGTCACGGCGACCGCTTTTCGGTCCGAGTCGGCAGCGCTGTGTGGCAAGGGGGCGTGGTCGAACTCACCTCGGCGAAGGTCCACGTCTCGTCCTCGAAGACGAAGCAGGGCTTGTTGGGGTGCTTGTGCACCCGAGCGTGGAAACCTTCCACGATGGACTGGTCGCGCCGCTGCATGGACCGCGCCTGCAGCACCAGACACAGGTACCGCATCAGGGCCCTGCAACAACGACAGCGCAGTCAGTCGCACCCTTCACAGCCAGCGGCAGGATACACACTCAGGAATTGTCTTGGTCAACGGTCAGAGTTACCTTAGAATGGCGTGAAGCTATTAACGAATATTCTTGGCGCTCTGGTAAAGGGGGTTAAGTCATTGTGAAGATAAAGTTTTTGCTGAGGGAGATACACTCTATAAAATCTACGATCCACATTGCAAATGTGCTGTAAAAAGGAAGGATATATTTTGGAAATTTACAATCCTCATGTGAATTTTATTTCCACGCTTTTTCGATCTCAGCTTTATGAATTTAGTCTCGATATGTAAATACTATACACTCTAAAGCTATTAACTAACAATGAACTACTACGAAAATAATTGAAGAAACACTGTCCGTATCAGAAATAACTGACTTTGTTGATATTAAACCTCGGCAAACGCCTGGTTTAAGGACTTGAAGACCACCTCGGTGATTTTCTGTATATCGGCCTCAAGTCGATAATTATTTTACATACAATTTATTTGCCTTCAAACTGTTGTATTGAAATGAGCATGAACAATTCAATTTAACGTAGGTACAAATATAAATCCTATTTATTAATTTTTTTTCCATTCTGCAGAAAATTATTTATTTCGAAACTAGTGGCCGGAGCATATTTTAATGTTGGAGTAAGAAACAGTGCATTAATGTTATCATCACACTCTGATACAGAGAGAAGGGTAATAGATATTTTTTAAGTTAAACTACAGATTTAGCTTCTGTTTGAATTGTCGTTCAAAAATGCCTTCAAGTCCATTCTTCACTGTTTTAATTACAACAAACGTAGTTTTTTCTTTTACAACACCAAAAGCTGTTTTCTGATCCTAATAATGAAATAGAATGGGTAATGTGTATGGGTGTAGAATGGGTAATGTGTATCCTAATAATGAAATAGAATGGGTAATGGGGATTTGGGTAATGTGTATTTGTTTCTTGATGTCGTTAAGTCTGGAAAAGTTTTACTAATTAATTGTTAGTGTATGTCATGTCGAAGTAGCAAACAGGCATTTGCCAAAATATCGAAGTCTCTCATGACGTCTAATGCAAAGAGAGAGCTAAGTCTTTATTCCTGTACATTAATTCGGATGACATTAGTTTCTAAGATTTCAATATATTTGAGAATAAATTTAGAAATAAATTTTAAAAAATATTTCTTCCTGCCAATGTCTGAAAGTCGTAAGAATAACATTAAGATGCAAAAAATACAAATAACATGAACTAAACAAGATAAATACCGATTATTTCGACAAGTAAACGTCAAAGCAGAACATTAGAAAATTTGGCATTGTTTGGAGCCAGAGCTGGGTTTGCAAAAGGATGTTGGTATACTCCGAGCGCATTCGATGTTTTTTACTATTACAGCGAGTGTTGCCAAATGTGATTGGAACTCACGAAGCGTAGGAAATAAAGAATATCAATCCTATGGCCAGCCCGCACGAGACTTTAGGTTTGGTAGTATCGCAAGTTTCATCAGAATTTCTACATTACACAATTGTAAATTCTGATTACAGGAAAGAAAAAAACAAGGAATTGTTCTGTCCCTCGTTATTCAGTTTCATAAAAATAAATTGGAAAAGAGTAGTATGAAATTGTACCCAATTCATGTTTAATTCTCCTCCTTTCTCTTCACCTCCTTGTTTTCTCTCTGCCCTTCAATAATACTAATTATAATTATCTTTGATTACACTGAACCATACTTATTTTTCTCAATTTTCAATAAAACATTTTAGGCTTATGCATTGTCTGCCAACAGTGAGACGAAGACGATCCTCATATCGTTTCCCCTCGGTCACGCACTTAGTGTAAACTAAATGCAATGCTGTAAACTTAGTAGTAAAATTTTCACTTGAAAGTATGCACTCAAAATGACGAACGTAAGCTGAAACGCAACTTTCGCTTGAACCAATCATAATTCAACGTATTTGAGCTTGATCGATTCATTTCTAGGAGGGGAAGATCTTTCCACCATGGTTTCCTTAGCTATTTCTTCGACTTTCCTATCGATTTGTCATTATATATGCGATTAGGTGTTGTGTTGGTGCTCGCACTCTATTTTATAAACAAGTATTTTATTGTGCTAAATTTACGAGTAATTCGTTGAAAGTAATTAACTTGACAAGAAGAATATATTAAAGTCACAAGAAAAAATTACCAAAATTCTTACTTCGAATTCAAAACTCTCATCGAAACTGTTAGCAAACTAGTTCACTACATAACAATAAAGAAATGGCATAACTACGAAGTATATTAACACAATCTGAAAATCGACTTTTTATTTGCTTCTCAGGGATTTTGTTGTGCATTTCTTTCTTTCATGCAGCTGCGTGATTGGTCTCCAGTAAAATTTTCCGATTTAAAATTACCGTAAAAGCTTGGGGCTTGTGAACTCTTAAGTTTACGGAATTGCCGCTACAGTTACTTCGTCGGGGCATTGTGAATGGTCACACTTAATAATTGATGTCTAGGTTTTGCGGCAATGTTACGTATACGTTAAAGTTCGCATGGTGGATGAGGCATCACTTCATCCGAGCTGAACGGTTCCGTCCCGCTTCAGGGCTCCCCCGGGAGGGGGGGGATGCGGCGGCGACGCGAAGGCTGGTGAAGGGAGAGGGGAAGCTGCGGTGGGAGCTCTCACGAGTAACGGGCAGACGCAGAGTCCTCCGCGTATGCGCAACGGAGGTCAACGTCTCAAGAAAGGCAGCGGTCGGCATTCCTTCAGTACGGGATAGAGGTGTTGCCACAACCCTCCCGTTCTCATAGTCTATGAATGATGTAGGATTCGCGTACGTCCCGCAAAATACGGGATCGTCCTGCAAAACACGGGATCGTCTGGTTTTCTCGAGTTCTCTCCATTTGTCTGGGGGAAAAAATTGTCGTGACATCGAAGTATTCCATATGTTGTTTCGGTTCATTTTTCTCTATTGATTGCCACGGCAAAAATACTAATTATATAGTTTTCTATTAAAGATCGACCGAAAAAATCAAAATGGGGACTTTCTAAGAGTTGTCCTGTAACCAGCCCATTTCGGTGTCCTGGGAACTTTTAAACACATTTACATCCTTACTTCTCCAAACACAGCTCTGAAGTAAAATTGTTGTATTTTATACTTATTTATCGAAACCTGTACAATGTAGAGAAAATGTTCCTACATTCAAAATAAAAGCTGCTTGCGAGAGAGATTTCTATCCATTACTCTATTCCCCAAATCTGTCGAGTTATTCGCTGACGAAAATCGATTTTATTTTCAAAAACACTTAAAGGTCACATTTTTTCATAAACTGTGCCTGTTGATACCTAATTCCTTTATTACTTGTTCCTTCACACTCTTACAGAATAAACTGCTGGATCCTAAAAACACATTAACCCGACATATAACCAGTGGCCTGTGACCAGTGGTCCTCTGGCATTGATCTGGAGTTGATCGGAGAAGCCATGAAAAATTACCGATCAGAGAGCCGACCGCTAGAATTCTCCTCAAGACAACGGTTAAATTCGACGAAAACTTTGTAGTTAGTGCCCAAAATCCTGGCACCGTCGGGAATCGAATCCTAGATCCTCCCAGCAAGAGGAATTGGGGTGACATCAGTTGATGCCTTGAGCCACCTAAGCCAGTCAGTAACTGGTGATTTCCTAAAATATTTGTGATATAGACGTATATATACCTAAAAACTAAATTTACGTTTATCAATAATTAGTTAGGGTTAACGGGCGGGTGTAATAATATCAATAATTAGTTAGTGTAGGCCCCGTGTGGTCTGTACTCCCGTGTGCTATATCTCAATGGGATAGAAGTGATCGTCTCCCGTTGAAAGATCCTACGTCGACTTACAAGACGCCTTGTGGGATTTCTCTTCTCCAGGTATCTCCCCAGTGGAACACCTACCCAGCCAGAACAACCTAAACTCCTGACTGGTCCCCCGACATGCGTGGTAGTGTAATGCATTTAAGGCTCACTGAGCGGGCGAAAGGTGAGTCAAGTGGACAAGGAAGAGGAAAAGAAATATTTGACGCCGTTTGTGGGTCGTTTGTTAAAAGTGATGCTCTAGCACTCGCTTGGTATTCGACAGTGATGCCACGGAAAGGTATCGACCAGAGAGGTCGGCGCCTGCAATTCTCCTCAATCTCTCGACCTCTATCGACCTAGCTCTGTAGGACTCCAACCCTACGTCCTCCCGGCCGGCGACGATTAAGAGGCAACAATAAAACTGCCTCACAGCTACCTCAGAATTTATTCAGAGGTTAGCCTGACAAACCAGGTCTACACGTTTCCTCGTACCAGAAAATTTCCATGTAATTCATTATACTGTTCTCTTGAAAACAATTTCAACACGAAGAAGTGAAATAACATAAGTCAAGCGTTTGTCATGTTTCGATGACGACAGTAATGGAGGATACTTGTTGATTGAGCTTGACATCCGAAATATGATTCTCAATTATTTTTCAAATCTCATCAATTGATTTTTTTCAGAACATTATCCAAATTTGCAAAATGTGTGTGCTGACCACAAATTGTCAGATTTTATGTTCTGGGTAAGTCGTTGTTTTCTTTCTCAAGGATAAGATTTTCCTGGAGATGAAGAAATTAGACTGTGGAAAAATATTTCGTGTTATGTAATTAATGTCATTTTACTGTTGGCAAAGCTTGTCTGTCATAATTTTTTTAAAATTACAAACGTGCTCATGGAGAAAAAAAACATACTCCGTTTTTCATAAATCTATCTTGGAACTTGGTTCTATAAATTACATAATAATCAATATTACATCAAATAAAGACGTAAATTTGTTCTAAGAAAGAATAATTACACTTATAAGAAAATACGAAGAAATGAGGTTCATTACTCACTGCTAACATGAAATATATTTTTTTGTAAATATACAATATAGATGTGCATTCGATTGGTAGGGTTCAACGGCATATGTAGTCATTTTTTTCTGAGCAAATAATACTTAAAATGTTTTGCC